AAAACACAGCCATAGCTGTAATAACAGAACATGGAAAAGACCTAATCATTACACAATGCTACAGGAGAAACAAAGGAAAAAAACCCAACCACAAAAAAAAAAAAAAAAAAAAGCCTACTGCTTTAATCCAAGCCTAAAACTTGCTGAGTTGATGGCCTACAAGAGCTTTAACGTAACACAAACCACAAATTCATAAACAGAAAGTTTTGCATTAAAAAGACCATAAAGAAGGGTTTCTTTCTAGGAAAGCTAAATAAATACTGTTATTCAAATTCCCATAGCATCAGAATCCAACTCACTAACGCAGGCAGCACTTGCTGTGTATCCAAACCTGAAGACACAAATATAATTTTCAAGAACTAGCACAGAAACTTTTTTCCTGGAACAAAGATTTAAATATCTGATCTCTCTCTTCAGAGGTAGAGAATTAAAGTGCATATAAAAGACCCTATCAGATCTCCAAAAGATGTTACCTTTTTCAATGTAAGCAAAGAGGTGCGTAAAAGTGTGAAATACAAGAAAGAACAGAAAGAATGAAACAACATAAATTGTACCACAAACACATGAACTGATCTTCAATAAAGGAAAAAAAAAAACACATGGACAATCAAGATATTATGTTCAAAAGTCCCCTGAAATAAAGAACAAATTTTAAGACTCCTTTAATTAGTGTATCCTATTTCCATAAATATTTTTCCATTTCCACAATAAATTGTAAATTAGTAAATTATTTTGCAGCTTCATGCAGCATTTTTCAAAAATACATTAATTTTACAGAATTCCTGGGAAAAGATTTGAGAGTCTTATAAATTCAGACACCATGGGATTGTTCAAAACTGCATGCTTTAATCCTGTATTAACGTGGCACATGAATACCTCACTTTCAGTTACGCTTCATATTTTTTTAAGTCTCTTTCTTAAAAATAGTTACGTTTGGATAGCAAATGAGCCACTTGGATAAAATATGTTCTCTACATGTCAGAAGTAGAACCAAAAGCTTGTAATTCGGTCCTCTTGGAACTCCAGTAATTCACTTTTTGTAACAGCCAGTTTCCACTGCCATTATTCCTGACTGACCGATAGACTGACAGATGTCTTACTTTAGAGATCCCAAACAGACTATTGGTATCTATTTCAGCCACATCTGTTCCTAAATAGCCTTGGCAACAGGCCACTATGCACTCGGAATTAATTTTAAGTCCTTTATTGCTGACTCTTTCACTGTTGAAATACATCAGTGATTCTTTTTCCCTATTGCTGCAATTATATAGAATATCTGTAAATCTATATTTAGATTAATATCAACAACTATAGCATACTATAGATAAGACTGGTACACTTAAACAATACATTGATTAGTTTTAATTAATTATAAAGTATATATTTTTTATTTTTATCTTGTTCATCGTGAAATATATATTCAACAGTACATTGACCTCTGGATTGCTCCAAGGTCTTATTTTCTTGTTCGTTAATTAATTTAGAAATTATGTTCAATTACCTATACTTAAAAAAGCAAGTTTTATCCAGATTATTACTATTATTATCCTGACTAAGCTGTCAGTCAGATAATAACTTAATATACCATTCAGTTTAGTACACTGAACACACAAGAAATTACACTTAAAAAGTTTTTCAGGATGATCAAAATCCTCCAGGCTTCGCATACTGGTAAAGCACTGGACAATTGCCAGTTTTGTTACACTTCCTGACAGAAATCTGCTGAAAAACTGCAATTGTTGTCAGTTTAGACTCTCTAGCAAACTTTAAAAACATGCTGGAGGATTTAAAAATTATCAGAATTAAAGGTTTTACTTAGCAAAAAAAAAAAACAAAAAAACAAAAAAAACCCAAACATATGCATAAAGAGGATACAAATGATCTTCTGGGAACTTTGAAAAATCACACATAATATTCAAATCTGTACTTAACATAGTTTTATCTGCTAAAGTTTTGAAGCAGCACTCAAAATGAAAACCTCCACAGTTCAGGGCTGGAATATCAATAGAGAAGTCTTGTATTTTTCTTAATTTCCATTATTATAGCATAGGAATGCCACATAGAAAGAAGCTAGAGAAAAAAACTACCAACTACTGACTGCGAGCTCTGCTTCTCATTGGGGCGTCCAGGGCACTGTAAAGAACAAGCAACCAGCTGTGGGTCAGAGGGGTTGTGCCCCAGGGGGGAGAACAGCTCAGCTGAGCTGCACACCCAGGCTGGAGCTGCAGCCTTTCCAAGGGGACAGCTGAGCCTCACACTTGTCCACTTCCCACCTGACACATTCACTCCCTCAGGCTCCACACCCAGCTGCCTGCCCAAGACTCACTTCTGCCATAAGCTTTGTTATAACAAATAACACACAAAATTCATAATGGGTCATGCTTATTTCAGAGGTAGGAACTTTGCTGTAGAGTGAACAACGAAGGAAGCCATCAAAAATCATCAGCAAGCATGGGTAGCCAAAAGCCTCTTGAAGACAGAAGCTGCAGAACTCCAGGACAGAGTAAAAAAGGAAGTCCTCTGGATAATCAGGATGCCTAGAGCCCCCCAGGAACAGCAGAGTGGAGCAGAACTACACACACATCACTGTGACATGACTGGGCCCAGGCACAGCAGATGTCCCTTGCCTGGGACCTTTGAGCTGCAGCTTTGAGCTCTGGTAGAATCTGGAGGAGCCAAGGCTGCACAACCTACCACGTGTAAGAACAAACAATCGGAACCACAGAGCTGCAGACGACAAACGACAACTTCAGCAAGACAGGAATTCATCTTGAGAACTATGGGGGATAGGAGATTAGGAAAAAGGGAACAAAGCAACTACCTTACAGTTCTCTGATTTTGACAGGCTACAGCAATTGCCATAGAAGAAAGACCTTTTCCTAAAATAGGAAGAATTACTACATACGAGTCCAAGCAAGAGACATTCAGCAGCACTTGCAAAGTGTGAAGACCTGGCTTGACCTCCCAGAGCCTCAGGCAAACTTCATTAGGAAGCTTTTGGGTTGGAGAGAACATGCATAAGCCAAATCCCAGTGGAAAGACTTGTCCAGAGAGCTGTTAGCCATCTCTGAACACACCACTGCTGTACGTATGTACGAATGAGACCCTACCACAGATGGCTCCTCCCAGTACCAGTACAGAACACCCCAGGGTAAGTGCTACTGGGAGCCAAGAATGAGGGAGAGAAAAAGTATTCAAGTTCCAGAATCTGCATTTGACTGCAGCAACTGCAGCCTCTCAAAAATGAAACTATGCAGCAGCTCAATGCCACACAGTATAAAACCAAATTGTCAGAGAAAGAAGTTTGAGCATATATTTAATACATGCGCAGCAAAAGCCCAAATCCTGATAAAATTGGCAGCTTTCCATAGTGCTGCTTTCCATAGGGCTCCTGAAGTCCTGCCATCTGCTATAGGTCTGACTGTAGGCACTGCATACTTCATTACCTTTCAGGAGCTATGAAAAGTTTCTGATGCCTGTATGAAAGTAGCAACTGAGAGGGATGAATTTTTCCTAGGAAAACAAACAAACCAAACCAGCCAAACAAACAAACAAAACAAAAAAGTCAAAAACACACAAATCCCAAACCACAGAATATACTCCCCATCCCTGGAAGAATGGAGCAATATACACCAGAATCTATTCTTCCTGTCTGAACCTTAATATCCTTCATTGATGATGATTACAAGACAATTACAGACCCTAGTTCCTGATATATGGCAATTCAACCTACATTAAAGGAGGCAGAACGTAAAGTGACACTCATATTAGAGTTCTACACACAGAACTAAATAATTAATAAATCACATTACAGATCACATACACAGAGACCTGTAGATAGTCCCAAATGAGAAGGAAGAGAGCCTTCAGCATTGAGTAACAGCATTACGTAAGGCACCAGACTGGCTCCCCAAGAGGAGGGACTGTGTCCCCACACCGGCTGCAAGGGGCAGTCAGAGCTCAGTGGTCCGGCTGAAAAGCAGGTATTGAAGTGGGAGGGCAGCACTGCATTAACACGGTTACACTGTGCAGAGAGAGGAGTCAACAGCAGGGCACGACTGGGTATTTGTTCAATTTCGGTAGCTCCGGTATCCCAACGTGCTTACATTAAATGAACCATGACTTCATCTGCGACTGCTTCTTTGCTTCTCAAAGTGCTGACCCCATGGCTATGAGATCTTGCCTATAGGAACTTTCAAGTTCTGTCCAACACACTTCTAAAAAGCCCGGACAACCTAACCATGCCATCCCGGAAGGCAAACACGCTGCCTGGAAACTGCATTCCTGAATACAACTTTGACTCATCTTTCTTGCAAACACTGGGAGTTCACTGAAATAAACAAGCACGTTTAGGAGTGTGTATGCAGTTTTACAACTATGTATATGCTTTCACAGTTTCTAGGAGAGAAATATCTATTTGGATACGTTCAAGCAGCATTCCCTTGCTTCTTAAACTTTTGTACATAATTTGTTTCACTTGATCAAATCCTGGAACCACACTTTCTCAGTGTGTCCCCGTGTGAACACCACAGAGCAACGACGTGGCAACAGAAGCCTCATCACAAAACTCAGGCACATCCCGCAAAACCATACTCTCCTCTCTGTGCCCTACTTGGCAGCTCCCGTACCTGCCAAAGAGTATAAGCCGGGAAAAGTTGATGCCGTAGAAACAAAATCAAATCCTCTTACTGCTCTGCCTGGGGCTAAGAGGCCATAAAAACATGCTCTCTACCTTCTGTCCCTTCCGTATGACCCACCAAGAGGACAAGATTCTTGCCAGAGAGAGCTGGTTCAGGTACAAGACACTCAAAGCGTTATGAAAAATTTCTTTTTCTTTTCAGTCAGCAAAGAAACTTCGAAGGGAACAGAGGTGCCCGACAGCACTGCCTTTAAGCACTTTACTGCAATCCCGATTCAGGGTGACTCTGCCCCGCGCTGCCCCGGCCGCCTCTCCCCGCTGGCCGCGGGAGCCCAGCCCTGCCCCGCCCTGCCCGTCCCACCTGTGGGGCTCTCGGGCAGGATGGGGCTCCAGCGGAGCCGCCGGGTGCTCAGAACCACGTCGCAGCTCCTCTTGCCGATCTCGAAGATGCCCCTGAGGAGCGGCTCGTCCCCCTCCCGGGCCGGCGGGGCCGCGGCCAGCGGGGCCACCCTCCGCCGCCGCTCCTGAGGCGCGGCGCGGGCGCGGCGCTGCGGGCGGGGGAGCGGGGCGGCGGCGCCCGGCATGGCGGCAGCAGCAGCAGCAGCCCCGCTCCGCTCCGGCACCTCCGCTCCGGCACCTCCGCTCCGGCACCCCCGCTCCGCCCCGGCACCTCCGCTCCGGCACCCCCGCTCCGCCCCGGCCCCGCCGCAGCGCCCGCGGCCCGCCGGGCCGAGCCGCGCCCGCCCCGCCCCGCAGGCGGGGCCGCACCGTCCGGGGGCCGGCGGGAGGGCGCCCGGCCCGGGCCCTCGGCCGGCAGCGGCGGGACGGCGGGGCTCGGCTGCCGGGAGCGGCAGAGCGCAGGGCGGCACCGGCCCCACCCGCGTCAGGTGCGCTGCCCGCGGGGAACAGCGGCCCGAAGGCACTCGGGCATCTCAGCGCTGTTCTCTCCTCAGTTACTTCTCCGAGGAAGGAACGCTCCCACTACAGAAATTAATTTTCCTTGTCAGAGTCACACGTCTTCCACTTTTCTGTTATCATTAACAGTATTGCTATTACTTAGTTTCAGAAAACTACGACATGAAGTTCTAATAGCCCTTCCATACTAAAAAGGCTGAGTCTTTAACAAGTTGTGACTCTGACATACCCTTAATGTAAAAACCATGTTGGCATTCCTGCTGCAAAACATTATTGCCATAAACCCGGGTGGAGGCATCACTCAGCTGTACCCTTCATTCATAAGAATGCAAAACATTGCATTCGAGCAAAACAGTGACTTGGAGTCTGATACTGACTCGTACTAGAACAGATCTGCTATCAAGTGGGCCGGTGCAGAAGGAATACCCAGAAAGGTTGCACAGTCATCCCTCATCCTCAAAGCTTGAATGCAGAGGAGGAAGACCACTTTTCTCTTGCTCTATAAATTATAGACTTTACTGCTTGGAAGTATGACAGCTTTACTCACAGCTGCTGTAAGATTCACTGATGACAATCACATTAGAGTGCAGGGGCAGCTCCCATTCATAACACTCTTCTGAGCCTGTAAGGGCTAAACTTGTACATTTATAAAGTTTTCTAAGGTTATGGTGGCTTGCTAGGGTGTGAAAAGGATATTCTTAAACAAGAAATTCACTAATTCTATCTTTAATGTTTGTAACAATACAAATGTAATTGTCCTTCTGAGAAATAAAGCAATACATTGAAAACATTGCCCTTTGCTGATGGATACAAGATATGGTTTAAGCCGCATGTTAGAGTATCCTGTGATGTTTAGCCTTGTAGAAGCGAAATGTTGGTTGCAGTCAAACCAGCCAAGAGCTCATGAGATGATGCATGTTCTCAAGGCTTTTGCCTTCTTTCATAATTCCATAAAAACAGTACCAAGCTGCTTATTATGTAGCTGAGAAGACAGGTTTAAGATACATTTTAAAAGTCATCATGGTACAACTTTTTGATGCTTATTTCCATCAATTACTTTGCCATGTTTAAAGTATATTTGAAATATTTGTTAAATATGCAATCCATTTTCAATTTGCATCAAGCCATTAATACAGCTTTTACTGAAATGCAGCCATCACCAATTTGCCTTTCTGAATCACATGACCACATAAGGTTTATGTTTGCTTAAAGCTTTTAGTAATTATATCAATTTTTGTTTTGTCCCCTAGGTCTTCTTTGTTGGCATATAAATATCTCAACTGTAAAGTAATCAGATAGAATAAGGTATAAATAATTGAAATTATGTGTGGAGTGTAGAACTTTTGTGCAAAATATCTTTAAGCAAAAAAAAAAAAAACCTAGTGATGAGGCAGGAAAAGCTGTGAGCCAAACAAGCTTGCCTTAACATTTATCATTCTGATACAGCAGTAGATGAACCAGCTCATCTGTTACTGTTATTTGGTGTTAGTGATCTTTATGTGTTTGCCCTGATGGCATTCAAGAGGAAAGCTAAATCATTAACTGGAAGATAAAGCATAATATGAAGCTAGAGTAAAATCTCTTTTGAGGCTGTATGCCCTGTATAATTCCCTGCAGTCATTTGTATTTGCTTCTGGGACAATTTATTAGCCTATACCATTTAGTGTATGTTATATATTATGACCAGATAATTTCTTCTAAGACAGAGGAAAGGGTAAACTGATAACTGGCTTAGAACCCTAAAATAATAGTGTTCTCAGTACTACCAGTGGGAAACTACTGCAGTTCCTAGGAGACTTGTAATATCCTTCAACTGATGTAATTACAACTTCTAACACCTTCTTATAGGCATTACTTGAAACGTCTATTAAAACAGTAACAGTTAAGGTACTACATATATTAGATAAAAACATAAAATAGTAAGAGAACTCTACATAGTGATAAAAACAATAAAATTCTGTTCATTGTGTTTTTGCTGATGTTCACAAATCCTCAATGCCCACAATTCTTTGTAAATCTGAGGCAGACACTTTTTTCCTGGAGGGGAAGGTTCCAAACAAGTCTATTCTAACAGACTTTTATTTTTAGTTATCACAAATTTCAGAATTGCATACTGAATTTGGAAATGCATGGAATAGTCCAGCAATATAATTTTAGCAATTTTTCTAGGCTATGTCTGGAACTCTCACACATAAAATCCCCTTTAACTTTCTTGTAAGAAATGGTTGTGTGCATGATCTAATGTAGTATCTTCTGTGATGTTCTCGTATCAGAGAGAGAAGATGCAAGACAATCAGTAGGAATTGTATAGTAGACATTCAAGCAGCACGGAGCACTGAGCCTACATGCAGAGCAAGGAAGTCTGGGGAGGGTGTTAGAATCCATCAAAGACCTAAATCATCAGCCAAGTTTATAATGATGAGGCAGGTCTGGATCAGCAGGGTCCAGAGCCAGATCAGGACCTTGGCTGAGCTGCAGACCAGCATCACACAGCATCTGTAATTGAAAAGGTTGTAGTCCCAGGCTGAACTTGAATAGAGCTCCAAGCTCATGTGTAAGGTCGGTGAGGGGGTTACAGGTGGGGATACTCAAGGTTTTTAAGGCTCAGTAGTGACCTCATGGGCCTTGCAGCCAGAAGCACAAGGGGAGAAATTCTAAGGAACAGTAGGAGCAGGCTGCTTCATAAAGGAAATGGGGTTTAGAGTGATTACAAGTCAGGTAGGATCCCATGTACCTGACCAAGGCAAACAGAACTGTGTGTAGCTAAGTTCCACAAGAGCCCAGATAGCCAGACAAACCCCTTGTATCGAGGTAGGTCCAGCATCAAGCTGAAAAGCAGAGTCATTAGGTCAGGTCAGGTGACAGCAGCCATTGTTAGTGCTAGCCCAGCAGCCACCAGGGAAACTTGTGTTATCAAGGCAGGTCCAAAGTCAGACAAGAATATCAAGTTTGTGGCTCAGGACCTGGATATGGCACAGACGTGGCTGCAATAAGATGAAGGCAGACGCCATGCTGCCTCTTCTAAATCACAGATCTTGCATGAGGGAGGCGACATCTCCCTCATGGTTTCTTAGAGTTTGTTCTCAGTTTTTGTTGACAAAACCAGGGGAGGTTTTGTCCCAGGTCAGAGTGCTGGCCTTGAGCACAACCAGATGGCCTAGGAGAGGGAAGCATCCTCTGGACTAGGTGGTTGTAGGAAAGAAGCAGAGGAGCTAAGCTCTCCTAAATTAACAATGTCTCTTTCTGGGAATCATCCCTTGCTCTCTAGATGCTAAGAAGCAGTGAGAGCCTCAGAACTCTTTTCCAGAAGAACCTTGTGAAGTAAAGAAAGAAGTAGGACAACCTGTGACAGAAATAATGACTGAGGGAAGCATAACTAGTGTTAACTGAAGAACAGCAAGCAGGTAAAGCTTGGTATTGTAAAATATGTCCTCCCACCTCAAAAAAAGTGTCTGTAAAAATGCAATGAGGTATTTAGGCCAGTTTTGGATTCATAAGAAATGTGATGTTCAAGTTAAGGAACAGGAATTTAGACAAAAAGTGATGAGGGGACACTCGGGAAAATATCTTATCCTCATTCCAGAGCTTTTGACTGAATATTTCTGGTAGTTGACTTGTTTTCTGTAGCTAATGGAGACTTCCTTCTGGAGCAACTTGAATTTTGAAGTTGGCAGCATACCCTTGGCTTGTATGTTTTTCTGGCTACAGTATGTGTTTATACAATGAGAGTTTAGTGTATTGTCAGTTATACTTCAGCTGTTCATTCACAGATATGAGCTCTCCTATGTATGCTGCTTTCTTACATTTCTACTTTAGAAAATAATCTTTTGTACCTCTTAATATTAATTCAGCTCTGAATTGGTTTACCATGAACTGACGTTAAGCAGAACACCAAATTTTTTGCATGATAAGCAAAGCCATAAATTATTCCAAAGGAAAATGGTATAAATGGTCTGCAGAAGAGAACATTACTATTGCTAAACATCTTCAAATTTTCAAAAGAAGGAAAGCCTTAAAGAACAGAGAAAGATAAGTAGGTAAGGAAATGGACAAACCTTTGCAAAGAGAACAAAGACAAGTGAAATTATTATGCAGGTATAAGAAGCCGCAGAAATGCAGCCTGAAGTTGCAGCCATTCCTGATATTCCCTGATATAATCAACTTAAATTCTTCTTAATCAGAACAATAGAGGAAAATCTGGTAATAGGAAGAATATGAAATGAGAATGTATTGATCAGATTATATTGTCTTTTCTTTGCATTAAAGTTGGTGTGCTATCTTTTTAAGGTAATTTTTTTCCCTCTGAATCTTATTTTCTACTGCTTTCTATTGTCACAGTGTTGGTAAACATGTAAATATTAGTTGCTTTTATTTCATGCAAAATGCAGTTAAGTCTATGCTGCAAACTACTACAAGCTAGAAAACTGAAAACTAGGGCTGATATTCTATGTTTTACATACCCTGTAGGCAACCTAAATACTTAAGAGAATGCTTTGAGAGCATTGTCAGTTTTAATTTTGTATTGCATAGCCTCTGACAGTTTGTTAAACACATATATGAATTATTTAAAAAACACTTAAGTAGATATTATTGTATTTGTAGATCTTCAGCTCACTATTGCAGTATGTATTTATGTACTATGTTTTTCAAGGATTTATTATAATACGGGATTTTCAG